AATAATATGTATTGCATTCGTTAAATAATACATATATGATATATGCACATCACGTATACACGTCACATACATAATATACGTCTCTGTGAACATATTATACAGACTGATTCACCAAACATCACCCTCATTTTTTCCTTKRGCAGTAAATTAATTCAAATTCTGTTTTTTGGAATTTTTAAGTGGACATAATTTCAAGAACCATGCTTTAAATTATTTAGTTATTTTTTTACTATATAATTAGAATTCATAATCATATACATACTTTTTTTTTACAAACAAGACTTTTCATCTAAACGGATGAGTTTCTTGAAAACGATAATTCATCTATATCAAGATGTATTCGAATGAGTAGTTTCTGAATAATTATTGATATTATTATACTAAATATGGTTGTCCTGCAAAAACGGTTGTACAAAAATATAAAATKAATATTGAATATTTAGATCTGCAAGTAAATATATTTGTGATAATCTAATATTTTTACAAATTTTAAAATTACTTTAGATTAAAATAAATCAAGTACCAAATCAAGATTTCAAATCATCTTAGAGTGTTAATGTCTTCTAAATCTACTATCATTTATTAATACAAAATATTTATAATGAGTAACAAGTAAGTAAACATAAAGTTAAATTACTCAAAAAATACTAGTTTAAATTTCCATTCAGACCCATCAAAATTTCAAAAAGGTTGATCTGATTAACAATTCACAGGAAAACAAATGACGGTGGTATCATTTGGAAATAAAAATGTATCCACAGAACACTTTTTAAATGCAGCACATTCGAATTGCGTCCCTAAATGATATTTTGTCAGAGTTACGTCCGCGGTTTTTTCACGACATATCCGAGTTGCGTCCGCAGTTTTCTCGTCACATATATACGAGTTGCGTCTACGGGTTTTTCAGTGACTGAGACTTATGTTAGATAATAAACTCGTAGATAACTCAATTATCGATATCTTATCTGTAAATACACCCTTAAAATTTATTGTTGGAAATTAATTCAGTTCATGTTAGCATCAGTCACACTTCGACATTCCATGTTCGACAAATCAACACAAATTTAACATGTCTTAGTTCGTTCAAAAATTGGCTTACAAACATTTTTCAATTTTATAAAATAATATACAATTCAAATTTTTACTACACCGTTTTATTTTAGAGCAATATATAATGYAATATATTTAATTATTAATTAGTAATTACAATACATTTTTAACCACAACATATTTTGTACAAATAGCAGTCCTCAGTCTGTAAAAGTGGGAAGGAAAATATGTATACTATTAACCAATTATTAATCAGGACACAACTTGTACATGTCGCGAAAAAATTGCGGACGCAACTCAGATGTGTTGTGTAAAAACACTAAAAACCACGGACGCAACTCGGATATTGCGATGTATATTTTCGTATTTTGGGACGCAATTCGTATGCAGCCCTTAAATGGTATAGAAATCTTAGATAAATGAAAATAGGATCCTTATATGTATAAAAAATTGTATAATTATAATAAGTTATATATTACAAAAATTATAATTTGGATAAATTATTTATGAAAAGGAAAATTGGAGATTACTTCGTGAATTACCCTGTATAATATTTTATAATATCCGTGAATATAAACACAACACATCGCGGGGTCTTCGTGTCTTGCACTATTTATATATAAGCAGATATATACGTAATATATAATACTTATAAATTATAATATTATAAGAGACGTATTGTTCCGATATACCTACATATTATACATAATAAGATATTAGTAGAGAAC